TTTCCCTCCTTCACTGGAGCTGCGCGCGCGCGGTGGCGGCGGCGGCGGCGGCGCGGTCCCGGGGCGGGCGCGCGCGCGGTGGGGGGTGGGGAAGGGCAGGCCCCGGGGAACGCGCGCGCTGTCTGTCTCGGGCGGCGGGCCCGGCGCGCACGCGCCTAGGCCCGGGGCACGCCGACGGGGACCGGCCCGGGGCTGGAACGCGGGACCCGCTGGAGCGCCCGGCACCGTGGACGCGGGCCTCGGGGTTTGGAGACTGTCTGTGAAGTAGGTCGCGGGGAACCCGGGAGGATGGGGCCGCGGGGGCGCGCGCGCGAGGGAGGGAGCGCGGTCCACCCCCCCCACCCCGAAGGCGCGGGGCGCATGCGCACGCCGGGGCGGGGCAGCAGGGCAGGGCGCGGGCGGCCGGGCCAGGGAGAGGGCAGAAGGCCTGTCTCTAGTCCCTTCCTTCCTGCACTGGTCCCCCTCCTCCCCCCCCCCGACCCCCGACCCCATCTCATGTAGCAAGACAGACGCTCAGATCTTGTGATTAGGCATTTTATTAGACTCGGTGAACAGTTCCATCGATATTCCAATTAAAAAAAAAAAGTAAAAAAAAAGAAAAAAGCTACATACAAAACGTGGGATCAGACGACTAGACTTTCCCGACTCAGGGCCAAATTCTGTAAAGGGAATAAAAGAAGATAAGTGTGAACTGGACAGGCTGGGGCGGAGAGGTCTGAGGTCGGGGGGAGGGGGGTCCTGGATTACCTTTTTCATCCGCCGCTCCCTGGAGGCCTGGGACTCAGTCTCTGAGTAAGGCGGAGGCGCTGGCGGATAGTTGTCCTCCTCTTCCTCCTCCTCCCGGTAGAGTCTCCTCCTCTCCCCAGACTCCTTTTTCTTTAAGGCCTCTTCTAAGAGTCGCCCGTCATACTGAGGGTCCCGTGACCGGAAGCCAGCATCCCTGGGATCTCGGGGTCGTTGACGGGACCTGGGGTCAGCACGCCGATCCCTAGGCCTGAGGTCATCGTAATAGTGGGGGTCTCGGGAATGTGGCAGATCCCGGGGATCATCGAGGTCATCCCGGCTGCGGCTTCTGGGAGGTGCATAGGCCCGACCCTTCCTTCCGCTACTCGGGGGAGAAGACCGTCCCGATTCAGTGGAGCCAGGCCGGTTGATGTCATCCAGAGCATCCACGGAGCGGGCTCGCGGCCGCCCGGACCCCCAACCACCCCTCGGTTGTTCTTGAACGGGTTCCTGCTCCCATGGCCTGGGACTCCTGGGCGAGTGGCGACTCCACTCCTCATCCCTGATGGGGGTAAGGGCGGGAGGCCTGGAAGGCCGGGATCGCCAGTCATCTTCATGGAGGGAGGTGACCTCACTCATGGCTGTAGAAAAGGGAGATGTCACAGGTACTGAGATGGGCCCCACCCTGTCACCCACAGGCTCATGCCCTCCCCACCCCACCGGAGCTCTGCAGGCAAGGAATGTCTGTGCGAGATTGGTAGGTAGCATGCTTTTGCCCCCTTAGACTCAGGCCTGAAGCTCACCCCGCTCCACCCGGCCACTGGGAGGGCCAGGCCGGGAAGGGTCAAAGTTGGCTAGCTCCTTCTCCATGTAGTATAAGACCCTCATGGAGTCATCCTGCTGGCTGGCCTGAATCCTGTAGCCACTGCGCACTTCTGAGGAGAGGAACAAGGTGATTGGTTGGGGGGGAGGGGGGCACATGGGGGCCAACCCTCCAGGCACATCAGCCTCTCAAGATTGCAGGTTCTTACCTGAAGATACACTGCCGTCCACGTCACGCATGAGCGGTACCTGAGAGCTGTGGCCACCAACTGAGAGAGACTGGTTGTCAGTGACTAAGTACTCTGGAGCAAAGCTGGGCACCCCACTCTCCCATGCTCCCTTCTGGCCCTACCTCACCCCTTGTCTGGCTTCCCCCGGGCCTCACCTGAGCTGTTCCTGTCGAAGTCTCCGGGGTACCCGTAGGTAGGACCCATGGGAATCATGGCAGGCGGTGGTGGAGGGGTCTTGGCAGGAGAGAGGTGGGTGTAGATGTTGGGGCCATAGATGCTGGGGGCGCCCGAGGTGGCCGCTTTGCCGGCAGCATAAACTGGGAGGGCACATGGACACGAAGATGATCAGAAGCAGTAGTGTCCCACGCTGGGGTGGGATTCTGGGGGACATGGGTGTGCCCCTCCGTGTCATTCCTGCAGAACTGTAGGTTAGGGGACATGGCCTTCACCAAGTCCCCACTTCCTTTCGAGACCTGGGGTGCATGCTGGTAGATCAGGGCCCCAACCTGCACATGATGGTGGCTTGCCAACAGTTGACAATGGAAAGGTTTCATGTGAAACTCCAGAGTACAGCATCTGTGTTTTGGTACTGGGAAAGGATCCCAGAACCTCAGACTTCCTAGGTGTTTTTCCACAGAGCAAACTCCCAGCCCCCAATATGTCTTCTGCCTGGGCCTCATAAGTAGCCCAGGCATATCATAAACTCACTATGTAGCCAGGACAGACCTTTTATCTTGTGACCCTCCTGCCTCAGCTATCCCAGAAACCGCGAATGACAGGCCAGAATCTGAAGACATTAGTAGGCCTGTTCTGGGCCCACTACAGTCCCTGTGAGCTGGGGCAGCCTAGCCAGTACTGGGGGAAAGTCATGTCTGCTGGGTTCACAACGTCCTGTCACCTCCCAGGTGCTGTTACTGGAGGTCAGGAAAGACAGGCACAGAGTTACCTTGCCTGCTCCACAGAGAAGTGCAGCATCTTTGTGCTTTCCAACTCCTGGCCACCTCCATCCCCACCCAGCCAGCTGGTTCTAGCTTGACAGCTCAAGGGTAAAATCTTGCTTCTCAGGCTAGAGGCTGGGTGGCAATTCCTAACTCATTTCACCTGATCCAGCAGGCTTGGTGGTACAGGCCTATAACACCAGCCATTACTTTTCATATGTGTGTGTGTGTGTGTGTGTGTGTATATATATATATATATATATGTTTGTGTATGCATTTTAGTGTAGGTGCCCGTGGAGACCAAAGGGATAAGATAGCCCTGAGGCTGACAGGTGCAGGAAAACAAATTTTGGTCCTCTGCATGGGAGCAAGTGGTCTTTACCCTGAGCCATCTCCATCTCTCCAATTGTTTGTCTGTTTTCAATAGTGTTTCTGTCCTGGAACTTGCTTTGTAGACCAAGTTGGCCTTGAATTCACAGAGTGTTGGGGCTAAAGGCAGGCACTACCACGCCCAGGTAACCTCTGCAGTCTTGAAGGGCTACAGAGTTTTAAGGCCAGCCAGCCTGAGTTAGGGAGGCCTGAGAATGTAGGGTAGCAGTCAGAGTGCTTGGGTGGCATGCTTGAGGGCCTGGGTTCAAAAAGTCACTGGACCCTACTTGGCACTCCAGAGCCTCGGAGGCCCTTTGCTCCTCTGATTTGGAGGCAGGTGACTTAAGTGCTCAGCTCTTTCATTAGCTCACTGATTGGTTAGGTTATAATTAGCAGCTCGATGGTACTCCCTGTTAGGCAGAAAGAAGTGGGGCAGAGCAGGACTCCATGGGGAGGGACAGGCTCCCTGGGTAAATGACAGTGGAGTCTAGAAGGCTGAAGTGTGGGCTTGGGACCCAGCCCCAAGCCTTAGTTCGCTCAGCTTCTAGGGGAAACTCCACATCTGTAAAACCACAGAGCTTCAAGCACACAGTTTGGCGGCTTCATGCAGGGACCATGGCTCAGGTCACGCCCGGTGCACGGCAGGCCTCCCTGATCTGTGCACCAGCCCACACGACTGCCCACGAGGAGCAGGCGTGGAACATGCTGGGTCCCGCCAAATGCTGTCCACACAGAAACCTTGAAAGCTCCTGCTGGGCAGAGTTCTGCCAGAACTGCAACAGCCTGGCCTCAAAGCCCCACCTGGCCAGTTCTTTTCTGTGGGCTATGTACCAGGGTACAGGGCTCTCTAGACAGCCTCCCAGAGATGGCTAAAGGCTGACAGCTTTGTCCCGTCAAGGGGCAGAGGAGGATGGCACTGCCCACTTTCTTCTCCCATTTCCCCTCTGCGTCACGTATCTGCTTCCTTCATGTCTGGTCCCGGATTCCTAGCCCTCCACAGGTACCCACCTGGACGTGATGGATACGCCTCAAGGCTCCACAGAAGCTGTGCAGACCCTGCTTGGATCCTTACTGTTCCACTTAAGGTTTCTGAGAGTTCCCTGTCCTCACCTTTCCACAGTGCTGGGTTTGCCTGGGAACACTGCCACACCCACCAGGATTTTGTCTGTGAAGGGGGCTTTACTTTCCTGTGAACAGTATCTTGGGATGTTGGACATGATTTTTGGTGGTCTCATTTTTGAGCCACAGCCGTAAATTACCCTCTCAAAATAAAAAAGCTCAACAAGAGTTAGGTGGTGGTGTTTGCCTAGCCACCACGGTTCTGCAGCCTGCTGCGCACACTGCCTGGAAGGCAGGCCAATGGGCCCAGCAGCGTTCCAGAGGGGGTAGCAGGTGAGGGACACTTACGGGCCTCGGGGCAACAGCACTTGTCTGGGCAGCAGGGACATCTGACATAGCAGCAGCAGGTGTGTGGACAGCACTGGCACCAGCAGATGCCCAGGAGGAGGAAAAGGAGGAGGCCCGCCAGGCAGACCACGACCACAAAGAGCCAGTCTGCAAAGAAAGAACGGGCTGTGAGCTGGGAGAGGTGGGCTGCAGGCACCCAGGCCCCACAGGGTGCTGCGGAGCCAGCTCTGAGGACGGGGGACTGTCTGCAAAGCTCCTCCGAGAACCTGCCACTGTTACAGCTTGGTTCTCTGTGCCCAAGACGAGGGCGTAGCAACAGAGGGACCCCAAACCCACTACAGCCTGGTTCAGGCCCCACACTGGAGACCTTATCCAGAGATCAAACAGACAAAGCAGAGAGCAAGAGGGAGCCTGGCCAGAGCAACACAAATGGTAGCCCTCAGGACGAGAAAGAGACGAAGCCCAGACACAAAGCCCAGGAGACAGAGGAGGCACCAGTCACTCGAGTCCCCTGCCCACACCCCAGAACCTTCTCAACCAGCCCAGGCCACCCCAAGCCCACAGCCAGGCCACTAGGTGTCAGCGTGGGGCAGGTTTAGTGGAAGTCTACAGTGGGAAGTAGTTAGTGGGGAGGATACTAGAAATAGAAGCATCTATTGGGGGCCAGCAAGACCCTCCGAGGGGTTCCACCCCCATACCTTCCAAGGGCCCCGCCCGAAAACCAGGTAGGAGCTCAGGGGCCTCTGAGGTCCTGCCTGGAGGGACAAAAGAGAGACAAGATTACGTTGGGCATGGGCGGCCCAAGCCATTGCCCTGAAGAACTGCCAGCCTCAACTGGACAATGGAGAACAAGCCCTGAACAGAGGGAGCAGTGCGGCCTAGGGCAGTCCTGGCTGGTCACATATGCCTTCCACCCTGCCACAGGGGGCCCTTCACATACGCCACGGATCCTAAGGGTTTCATCTTAGCCTGGCACTCCCAGCTCTCCCACCCACACAAGTCCTGCTGGGCACAGTAGGTGTACCCTCGTGCCCAACTGTGGCGGTCTTGACTTGAAGTTCCGGCGGCCTCAGCCTCCTGAGCTCCAGGATTACAGGCGTGAGCCACTACTCGGGGCTCAAAATGAGGAACTTTTGGCAACAGATGTCTGCTGAGGGAGTCAGCCATTCTTATTTAGGGGTGTGGCCACTGGTTGGCTCACCCACCCTCCAGTGAAGGGTGCCACAGCCATACGCAATAATAACTGGGCTGTTACTTTTCTTTTTTAAAGATGCATTTGGGAGGGGAACATATTGGGGCTATCTGGAGCAAGTTGGACGTAGGGCATGGGGTATAAGCACACGTATAACCAAAACATCTACTTGTGTGAAGTTAACAGAGAATAATTATATAAAAATTCAAATTTAAACAGTAAAATACGAAAAAATTATGATACCAAGAACGTCATAATGAATGAATCTAATGACGCTGTATCATCTGTTTTTGAAGTGCTGGGGGCTGAACCCAGGACCTCACGGTGGCTAAGCATGTGCGCCCCAGCTACACTTCACCCACAACAGTCCTTTCCATGGAGTAGAGGCCATGAAGGCACGTTAAAATCATACATGGTCCTGGTTCTGTGTCCCAGGAAGGGTCACACACGTAAGTTTCAGGACCTCTCAGGTGGCACGGAGGCTCTGGGCGCCACCAGCCTTGTCCTAAGTACCCGTGTGCACACCAGCACGCCTCCCTCCAGCACACGCGCACTGGAAAGCGGGGCATGGAGCTGGCCACCTCTCCAGTCCCAGCACTTGGTTCCTGAGGCAGGAGCACCAGGCGTCTAAAATGCACAGAGCTACATGATGGAGGTCATATGCATGCCTGGCTCACATGAGACAAGAACCCCAAATCTGTGGTCAGAGGGCCAAAACTCTGTCACTAGGTACACCCATGCCCCTTCTCCTCCGAGGGCACAGCCGGGGTTTCCTCTGGCTCCCTGACTCACTCCACCCCCCACGCCATCCCACGGCTAACATTACGCAGTTATCTTGGGATTTTAAAGACGTCTCAGTTCCAGCCAATTGTGGTGGTTCATGCTATAACGTAAGCGCTCAAGAGGGCGGAGGTATTGGGTGAGGGTATTGCCACTTCAAGCCAATTTAGGCTGCAGTGAGACCCTGTTTCAAAAAAAAAGTTCCTAGTTCAATTTTAATATAAATAACTAGGTATAAGCCACATGGCACAAAACTTGTGAGATCCTGAGTGATTCCAGGAACTGCTGAGAGGACATGCTGATAAAGCCCTGACCTCACGGGAGGGGAGTCCGCCCCTTGCCCTCTGCCCTGTGGCCTGTTCCCAGCATGCACTTGTTCATTTCCTCTGAGGACGGCACTGCAGAGATGGGGCTTCTGTCACATACAGGACACTCGGTGCACGACACGCTGGCTCCTGACTGGCCCTGGCAAGGAAGCCACCTGGCCAGACTGGAGCCCCTGGGGACACGCTACCCTGCCCCTGCCATCGAGTCGTTTCAGGCACACTCAAACTTCCACATACTTCGTAAGTCACACACAGCACCACCCCAAAAGGGCAGAAGACAAACTCTGTGTTTGGTCAGGGTATACTGTGACCCTTTGGGATGTGGCAGAAGGTAGGGCCAACCCCAGTTATACAGCTAGCCTTTCGGATGCAGGGTACATGGAAAAAATATTCAAAAGACCCCCACCACCAAAACATAAAAGCAACAAAACTCCCTCTTTAAAGCAGGTTTTACTATGTAGCTCAGGCTGGCTAGAAATTCACTGTGTAGCTCTGACTAGCCTGAAATTCAATGTAGCCTAGGTCATCCGTCATCCTGAAAGGGACATCAAGACTGGCCCAGAACTCTTGATCGTATCGACTCAGCCTCCCATGCACAGGCCACCACCCTCTCAAAATACTCCACCATATCAAACACGCACAGACTGGCTGTCTTGCTGCTCTCCTCTCAGCAACCACGAAACAGCTTGCACTGTAACATAATTGCTTCATCAGACATTCTAAGTAACCCTGGACAATGGAAAGGTTACTATTCTGTGTGAGTGCTCCACTGGCTTCCCTAGGGACCCAGAACAGACCCCCTCCCACCCCCCAGTCAGGGACGTTCTCACTTCCAATCAGCTCTGCCCACATGTGAGGTTGTTTTTGTTTGTTTGTTTTCCTCTCTATTTTGTAGCTCTGTCTGTCCTGGAATAGACCTGGCTGGCCTCAAACTCTGAGATGCACCTGCTTCTGCCTCTGCCTCCAGGTGCTGGGATTAGAAGCAGAGACTCGCTGGGGGTAGGCTCCTCAGTTATCTCCACTCTAACTCTGACTCTGGCTGATCTGAATGCCATAGAAGGAAGGATCCTGTCTGGGGTGCAGGGCACGGAGAAGCCCAAGTGACTGGCAGTCCGGCAAGGCAGGGAGCAAAGCAGGCGACAGGGCCCAGCACGGGAGCTAGATGACAGAGGGTGGACACACAAGAGTGGACAAACGGAGTACCAGTTCCCTCTCTCCACCCTCCTGCCCGGGCCCTCTGAGCCCTGCCCCACTCACCAAGAACAATGAGCTCTGCATACGCTTCGTTGTTGCCGCCCAGATCCTGGGCTGAGACCACGGAGCAGTAATACACCCCACTGTCCCCCCAGGCTGTCTGCTCGAAGGTCAGGTCAGCATCTAGGGCAGGGAGAGACAGTATGAAGACAGCCTCAGGGGAGGGCACTCGTAAGATCAACAGGGGCTGAGCCCCACACCTTAGGAAGGGTGCCGGGCACAAGTGAAAAAAGCTTGTTTTGGGTTGTTTCCGAGACAGGGTTTCTCTGTGTAGCCTTGGCTGTCCTGGACTCACTTTGTGGACCAGGCTGGCCTCGAACTCACAGAGCTCCACCTGCCTCTGCCTCCCAGAGTGCTGGGATTACAGGTGTGTGCCACTGCACCTGGCGAGTCAAGTGAAAAGAAAATGATTCACTGGGGCTGGAGAGATGGCTGGTCAGTTAGGAGCACGAGTTGGTCTTGCTGAGAACCCAGGGTGAGCTCCCAGCACCGACATGACAGCTCACAACCATCTCTAACTCCAGATCCAGGGGATCCAATGCCCCCCTTGACGTCCCCAGGCACCCGGCAAGAATGTGGTGCAGACATAAACACAGGCACAAAACACCCACACACGTAGAAATCAAGAATGTAATCGTTAGGTTTTGTTTGTTTGATGGTCTCCCACTATGTAGCCCAGGCTGGCCTTGAACTGGAAAGCCTGCCACCTCAGCTTCCCAAGTGCTGGGACTGCAGACGAGCACCACCCCAGCCCACCAAAATGAAACCGTTCGTCTAACAGCGTGCTCCTTTTTACGTATGTCTCTCCACACCTAACAGGGTTCCCTGAAGCTATCTGGGTGCCAGGCATGGTGGCACAGGCTGCTCCTCCTGCACACAGAGGCGGAGGCAGCATGGTCTCAAGCTCAACACCAGTTTGGGCCACACAGTCTGACTGTTGTCTCCAAAGAACCAAACACCCGAGGCACGGTGGTAGAATGTTCGCCTAGCCCACAGAGCCCCTGCGCCGACATGAACCAAAGAAACCCAAACCCAGTCCAGGAGGTGGGCATCGTTCTCACTGTGGTCAGGGTGCGGTGTGGTGTCTTGGTGGGACGATGACCTAATCCAGCCGAAGGCTGGGACGGTCCGGCTCCAGCGCCTGGGCTTCCAACCCAGACGCATGCTCCTCACCAGCTCTCAGAGCCAAGTCTAAACTCCGTCATCCGGCCTCAGGGGCGGGGGTGCAAAGCAGGGAAGCCAAACTAACTAGGCCAGATCCCAGATACGAGATGCCACCAAGGAGCGGGCGTGACAGGTGTGGGAGAGCCCGACACTCCCAGCCCCAAGCCCACCCTCCCGTTCTGTCCCCACATTCCAGGTCAGTCCCAGGGCTTGGGGACGCGCTGGCCAGAAGCAGCCCCGGGCAAAGGAGCCTGCTAATTATATCACTAATGAAAGTCTTTAGCACTTCCGGCTTCCTCTCTACTGCTCAGGCCCTAATTAGTTACATCCTTTAATCCACCTAGCAAGGCGGGACAGGGAAACCTCTGCTCGCAGGCTCTGCCTCAGTGGTGGCATTTCTTCTAGCCAATAGAATCCCAGGGTCTTCTCAGCCACAGGCTCCCGGTGACCTGCCTGCCACCCCGTCTCAGGGGCCCAGGAGCCGGCATGGCAACCTGTCCACTCACACCTAGGACACAATTGGGTGTCTACATGCATGGTACCTAGCACCCCAGGGCACACCAGCTACTAAGGGCTGAAGCTTCCTCAGAACGAAACCCCTTTCCACAACCCATCACGCCAAATACAGTCCCCAGGCCCGCAACCCCCCAGCAGTGTCTCTGGTCACTGGATGACCTCACCGGCCTTCAGCCTGTCCTCTGTGCCAGCTCCGGGCACGTTCCTTCTTGTTACTCAGGCCCCAACCTGGAGGAGCCCTCCCTGGCTACCCAACCCACACCCGCCTTCTGACGCCTGTCACCCTGCTTACACACTAGTTCCCACGTCTTCACCAGTGACGGACAACATGGCAAAAGAGTGGATTCGGCCTCCTCGGCTGACTGAGTCCGTCTCTCCTTGGCTTTTATTGCTGGTCCCAGAATTCCAGCCACCCGGTTATCAAACAAACACCTGACCTGCTCACTAGGCCTTCGACCTGGCTGAGGGGATGGCGGCAGTCCATGACCTCCAGCTCTGGGGAGGTTAAGGCAGGAGGATGGAGAGTTTGAAGGCAGCCTGGACCACGCAGAGAGACCACCTCAACCCCTACCGTCAACAAACAACAAAAAGCAGACGACAAACCGCTTGGACTATTCCAGGAAGCGTGTGTAAGTAACCTCCGCTAGAAAGTGAAGGTTTGCTGGGCTTGGTGGCGCACGCCTGTGATCCCAGCACTCGGGGAGGCAGAGGCAGGCGCATCTCCGGGAGTTCAAGGCCAACCTGGTCTACAAGGTCCAGAACAGCCAAGGGAAACCGTCTCAAAGCAGCAAAAAGAAGCCAAGGTTCTCAGTGTGGCCGAAGGCCCCCTGAGGTTCCCTGGCCTTTCCAGTGGACACTCATTTTACAGTACAACCCCCCTCCCCCACCCTCCCCCTTAACCACTCAAGAACATTAAAGGCATGTTCCATGTGACATGCAATCTCACAGCAAACAAAGCTGCTTGGAAAACCTTGCTTCTACTGAGCTAGGCCAGTAGGAAAGTTTTGTGACGATTGTGAGTTCAATGCCAGCCTGGGCTGCAGAGTGAAATCATGAAGACAGAAGACAGGAAAGCTCCCAGAATTCTTCCGTTAAGAAGATGGTTCGGGAGTTCTGAGAAGAATCCAGACCCTTCATGGAGGAAAGCTCGTCCTTAGGACGCTTCAGACCCAGGTTAGAACACATGCTGCCTATCAGACGGTGAGGATAAAGGACACGACCTATGAGTGCCAGAAGGTGCCAGGCGTGGAGGCGGGGGCTGCGCAGCTCCGGGAAAGCTGCCCGGGTAACCTTGGAGGAACGAAGGCCTCTCCAAGGCCAGGCATCCAGCTACTGTTGACCGCAGAGATCCTCCTCCATTGCAGACACCCTTCCTTATCCTTTCTTTCACACAAGCCTCCAAACCTCGGGAACTCAGGGCTGCCCTAACAGTCCAGCTTTTCCGCACCGCTCTCTGAACCCAGGACTCCCCGCTGACATGCCCAGGGCACAACCCTGGTGTCTGTCGGTTGCTCTGAAGCAGGGCACCCACGGTTAATGTCCTCAAAGTGACCACGAGGGGACCCTCGATTCGTGGGATTGGCTGGGAGGGAGTCTCACAGGCCGCGCTGTCTCCCACGGGCCTATGGTTTTGATCACTGCTCCGTGACCCATGCACTCTGCAGCAAGCCTCTCCCAAAGCTGAAGGAGTGAGCAGGAACCCCCTGCCAAGGGAAATGATTACATAGGCCAGGCATTAAAACCAGGGGCCTCCAGGACCATATCTAGGCCTTGCTGTATTGTATTTGGCCTATGCGATGTTTTCAGAACCCATGAAAAGGAAGGTTTTTCCGGCTTCTTTTGATCTCTCCTGAGGCCTGGGTCCACCTCCTTCCTCTGGGGCACACCCTGTTCCTGGTCCCTGCTGGCCCCCGAGATCACAGGGGCTGAGCACCGATTCCATGGGTGAGGTGAGAGGCCAAGGTACTGGTCTCCCGTGGGTGAGGCCAGGCTCTTCCCGACCATGTCCTGACTCCTTACTTACACACAGCAGAGGGAAGCCCTGTGTTTCCAGAGGGCCTCGGGGTCCTGTCCGGACCGCTCAGAATAGGGGGCACACGGATCCAACCACCAGAGGAAGCCAACACTGGGGCTCCCGACATAACACCCCACACACCCCAAAGCAAGAGGAGCAGAAGGCAGGTGCTGGCAGATGGACAGTTACGTTTTCAACCATTTTTGCAGTCCTCGGGGACAACCTTACCTGTACCAGACAGGCCTCTTTTTACCATTTTCACCTGAGTGGACCCCGCTGGCCTTGAACCTTGAACTTCTGCTACACATACACCACCTCAGCCTCCAGAGTAGCTGGGGACAGGCTACGCTTACTTTCCTTCATAAAAACTAGGAGGGCGGGGGGGGGGGAAGAGATCCACCTCTTTGTCCTCAAAGCCGAAGGGGAAGAAAGCTCTCATGGCTACCGGGACTTCTGAAAGGATGGCCACTTCACTCCACCACTGAGACAGGCCAGCAGGAGGGGCCCAGTCTTTGAGGTCTCCGGGGCACGAGGTTCCCCCGGGGATATACCCCGATGGACACTGCCGAGTTCTGCGTCCCTCAGAGCATACTCAGTTCCAGCCAGCCTTCAAGGCTGTTCTCTTGTACCTGTGGTGTTCTGATCAGGGTTGGGCAGTTAGGCCCAGTGTTAGCCCGAAAAAAGCCCTCCCTCTCCCTAGCCTCAAGGGCAGCAGGAGCTTGCCGCTCGCTGCCCTGTCTTCCCCCTTCCCTTCGGATTCTTCAAATCGCGCTGGCAAAGATGGCGCCCCCCAGTCATTCCACACATCACCAAGTGCTACTGCTCCTTCTCAGCCTGTGAAGCCATCTGAACCTCCCTTCTTTTTTCTTTTCTTTTCTTCAGCCCGACACAGGGACTCATGTAGCCAGGCTGGCCTCCAGCTTGCTCCAGAGCCGACAGTGGTCTTAACTCCTCATCCACCTCCACCTACCCAACGCCAGGATCACAAGTGTGCACCACCCCGCCCGGTGCGCGTGCTCTAAGCCTTCTTTTCAGGTCCTCTGGGGCAGGGGCAGGATCTGGGCTATTCTGCCTCTAAGAGCACCCGGGACACAGGAGATCCTTGACAACTGAGTCAGCGGCCATGGACAGAACTCAGGGTTAGGGCACTGGCCTAGAATCCACTAGTGAGAGTGGGGGGGGGGGCGTGACTTAGAGGTAGAGCATCCTCCTAGAGCGTGCCAAGCCACCAGGCAACAAAAGAATGAATGAATGAATGAATGAATGAATGAATGAATGAATGAATGAGGGGGGACTAGGGCTACGGGGGGAGTTCGAGCTCAGCTGTTATAGACTGTGTAACCCCCAGCAAGTCACTTGTTTCCAGGGCCCTTCGTGAGGGGGGCGGGGGCGGGGGGATGACGACGATAGAATGGAATTACTCAATTACTGTGTGGTCTGCCCGAGTTAGTCCGCTCCAGGTAAATCTAAACCAGGCCTTGGGTCTCACTCTATGTAGCCCACGCTGGTCTTGAACTCAAAATCCTTCTGCCTCAGCCTCCCAAATGCTGGGATGACAGGCATGCCACCGCAGCTGGCCGGCACATTGCTTTCTGTTGCTGGCATTTTCGGCACTGGCTATAAAACAGACCCCTGCTGGAAGCTCCACTAGTTTTCCCTCAAGCACCGCCAAGCCTCTGACACTGTATGTTTAAGTCCGTCTCCCTTACGCTAGCGCGCGCTCAGCAAGAGAGTGACCTGATGGCTTTATTTCTGTGTTCCCGGAGCCTAGACCAAACCTGGCCTATGGTCGGGGCTGTACTGTGGGGCAGTGGACGGAAGCGGAGATGGATGGAGAAGCTGGTGGGCGGATGGATGAACACACGGATGGGCGAGTGGGTGGAGGAGGGGATAAACGAAGGATCCCTCCCCTCCTCGGCCCCCTGAAGACGAGACCCCCCCTCATCCCCACCAGCCACAGGCCCTCCTCCCACCCGCCCCACATACTTCCGGTAATGGTGATCCTCCGGCCTTGGTAGTGGTCTCCCAGGGTCACGGCGTTGCCCTGCTTGGTGGCCACCACCCTGACGGTGCGCACGCTGTCCTGGCACTCCACGTAGGGGTTGTAGCCGGGGTTGCCCGCCGCCAGCTGGGCATTGATCTGGTTGTTCACGCTGGCCGGGGAGAAGGCGTCGGCAACGCGGTCCCGGCAGAAGGACTTGTACTTCCAGATGACGATGGGGACGCTGATCGTGCTGCTCATCTGGTAGGTGCAGGGCAGCGTCACCGGCTGGAACAGGATCACTACGTGGTAGGGGTCAGACACGGTCACCTGCACGGCGCTGGCAGGGTCTGGGGACAAGAGGAGCGTCACGGGGACCGCCGCGGCCGCCGGGGGTCCCACGCCAGCAGCAAGCCGCGGCACCTGACAGCGTTCGCGGTTCTTCAAGGCGCCTGACCTGCTGTTCTTAATCCCCGCGCCTGGCGAGGCAGGTCGGATAATTACGCCCATTTTTATACACCCACGGGGCTGAAAAGCGAGAAATACGTAGCCACGCGGGCCAGGTTCTTGGAATTCCTCCACCTACCAAGAGACTCCAAAGCGCACACGGAGATGAAGCCCTAGGCCCGCGCCCTAGACTCCATTCAACAGGCCAGGAGAGCGCTGGCCCGCGGAAGATGGCATAAGGTTCAAAAGTCCATCCACCCTACAGATACCCGGGAGGTGGGTGGGGTGGGGAGTCCCCAGTTCCACACCCACTCCACGGCGGGGCCCTGATTCTCAAGCTCTTCGCCTGATCCAGCCCTCCAGTGCTCTACCCCCCGTTACCCCAACACTCAGAAATCCTGGGGCGCGGCCAAGATCCCTGTGACTGGCCCTTCCCACGATGGGGAGTGGAGGGCTTGCTCCTGCCCACAAAGGGTCCCCTTCTCCGGACAGTCCCAGGGTTAGGAGCCCCGGAGTTTCACTTCCTGTTATCTCCAACAAAGGCAGAGGAGCGGGCTGGGCGCGCCACGGGAAGGAATTCCTCTCCTCGGGGACAGGGGTCTCCCCCAGCAGGCGGGTCCCGGAGGTCTCGAACCTGCGTTCTGGCGCCAACCCTCACGCCTCCCCCTCCCCGGTCTCGTCTCCTCTAGGGCAGGTGAGAACCGCAGCCCTCCATCCACCCCCTGGGGCGCCCTCCCGCCGTCCCGCAGCACCGGGGACCCCACTCCTTACCTGGGCAGCACGCGATGAGAAGGAGCCACACGAAGGCCACAGTGGCCGGGCGGGAGCCGGGCGCCCCGGCCCACGCGCCGGCCGCCGGCGCCATCGCGGCCGTCCAGCAGCGACGGGGCCCGCGCGTCCCCTCCCAAGTCTCCCGAGAGTAGGGGGCGCGGCAAGCACCAAGGCCGAGAAGGGTAGGTGCTGCGCCCGGCCCCTAATCCGAGTCCATTTCCCCCACGGCGGAGGAGTTCTAACCTCCCCAAAGAACTTAAACGGAGCTCATGCCTCCGGCTCCGCGGGCACAACTGACCCCGCGCGCTGCGGCCCTCCGGGTCACTCCACCCCCCGCGCACTCCCGGGAATGGATCCGCCCAGGTACACAAGGGTGGGAGCCCCGGGGCTGGGCTTGGGGGTGGGCGGCGGGGGAGGGGCTTGCGGGCCTCCCTCCCCGGAAGTGGGCTGACTCAGGTGCGCTACTGCCTCCGGGGCCTGAACCAAGTGACCGCTTAGCCAGGAGGGCGCTCGCGCCGCGGGCGGCCCGCGCAGCCACCTGCTGCTCCGGCCAAAGTTGGTGGGACTGAGCTCCCTGAAGACAGAGGCCCTCCAGGCGGTGCTCCACCTGCCGAGAGGGGCCGCGCCCCGCCGCGCACCTGTCCGCTGCCGCTCCACACCCCTGTCCCCGGCGCCGATGGACCCGCCTAGGTGCGCCCTGCCGGGAGGTGCCAGGACGCGCCAGGTCCCGGCTGGCTGGGGAGTGTCGGTGACGCCGCGCGCCTTCCCGCCCTCGTCCCGGTGGGGGAGGTGCTGCCGCCCGAGGCTTCCCAGAAGGCATCCGTGAGGTCCCCCTAGAAGAGATGCTGCGGCCCCGGAGGGCACGCTCGTGGGGACAGGACCTTGGACGAAGTTGCAGTCGTACTTCGGCGTCTCCTTACTTCCCGACGTGTGGTTCCTTCCCCGCCTCCCTCGCCAGCATCCCTCGTTCTAGGTCAAGGCTTCCGGAAGTTCTGATGCTCAAAAGGCGCGGAGCCAAGACTGCAGACCTGTTTCGGTTCAAAGGTTCCCAGGCCGTCACCTGCACCCCGTGCGCGGGCATTGGCTCTCGCCCTTCTCGGCGCGACGGTGCTGTCCCCTGGTGGCGCCGACGGGAAGTGCATTCTGGGAGACTGAACTGGCCACTGCCTGGTGGGTCGGGAGCCCCTAACGTTTTCTGTGAAATGGTGTCCAGTCACGCCCTCCCGGCAGAACCCTCCCTCCCTAGACCTTCTCGACTCCCAAGCAAATAACAGATTAAAATTACACCGGCTCCATTGTCTCTTTGCACTCCTCGCTCAGTTGACTTCAGCCATAGTGGCCTGGCTGGTCCTGAATCAGACGTTCATACACGCCTCCTGGAGCTACCAGAATTCCCTTCCCGCTGCAGACACCTGATCTCATTTCCCTTAGGGCTGCAGTCAAAGGCGAAGGCGGCTGATAAAATTTCCTGTTCGTGAGCCATCATGGTTTTAAAATAGAGGAAACCACCACAGCCATCATTTTTACCGTTTGTAATCCTAAACCAGCGATATATGTTACTTTGTGTTTTGTAGACGTCATTGTTTTTTTGTTTTTGTTTTTTCCCCGAGGCAGGGTCTCTCTGTGTAGCCTTAACTGTCCTGGACTCCATTTGGAGACCAGGCTGGCCTCGAACTCACAGAGATCCGCCTACCTCTGACTCCCAAGTCTTGGGATTGCAGGCGTGCACAACTGAACCCTGATATAGACGTCACTATTATCAGTATGTTATTGATACTCAAAACTTGCTCATCACCTTCAACATAGGAGAGAATCTGTATTAGATTAGAACCCAGCCCAATCACCCGTTTTCACATATCCTGTCCCCAAGCAAAAAGACGTGGGGGTTCAGCAAAGATCCCAGGGCAGGATAACCCCAGCCTCCCTCTCCCGTTTTTTCCCCCTCTTGGAACATTTGCTGGCGTATTTTCACCGCCTGTCTTTTCCCATCCTAAAGACAATATTGCTTAGCAAATATTCCAGCCCTACGTTTCCCATCCTTTCTGGAAGACCCCCTTCTCTGCCGCCGCCGCCACTGGCTTTGTTTCAGGTGGCACCTGTAGGGACCTGATGGAGGAGAACTCTCCGCTAAGCAGTGCTGGGCCTGAATGTGAAGAAAAGAATGGGGTTATGAAACTAAAGGTTCCAGAATGGCGACTGAGATGGTGAAATCCAAACTGTCGCCCTCAGTATTTCCCACTGACACCAAGAGGCTGATTGGATGGTGCTGTGAGAATCTTCCCTGTCTCCTGGAGAGGAGGTCCTTGTCATGGCTTCCCATGTGACATCAGGAATGGTAGAGAAGAGTATCTTTCCTTCCCCGTTTTGATGGACATGACACCCTTGTCCCATTCCCTATGTTAGGCACTTTTCGTTTCTGTGACAGATGTTCATGAGAAATAGGGTTTTTTTTTTTTCACTCCCCCTCCCCCAACTTGGCTCATGATTTCAGAGGTTTCCAGGCATGGTTGGCTGGCTGGCTGCATCATTTTGGGGCTCGCACCGCATGGTTGGTGAGGCATAGCACTAAGTAAGCTCCTTGCTTCGCGGAGACCAGGAAACAGGCAGACCAGGAAGAGGACAGGGACGGGATAGACGTAAGGACACTACCCCGCTACTGCCCGTTGGGTCCTACTTCCCAACGATGGACCAGCCTGACTCCATCTTAAGATTAAAAGCCATCTTCTTACAAGGTCATCCCTGGTTTCTGTAAAACCTGGATTTGACCATCTCTTGACACCTGTTCCGCACCCGTGAACCCTGACCCTGATAAGATGCTCTGCCAAAAAATTTTGAAATGTTTCTCCAAGTTCCTATGAAACCAACAACCCTTGGGGGAAAAAAAAACAAAAACCCTGGTCTTGAAGTTTTGGAGTGTCTATAAGCCCCACCTTCTCCTGTTTTCAATGCTATTTTCTCAAACTTTGATTTAGAGAGAGAACCCTGGCTGACAGAAAATGAAGTTTGCATAATTTGACCAAAAGATTTTGGGTGATGGTCTTTTCCTCTTGGTCAGTGGGATTACCACTGAGGTTTCCAGTACCAGCAAAATCAGCACCACCATCTAGGCCCGTGAACCACGGGGGCTGTTTGCAGTCATCATTGTGTACTGGATTTGTGAAGGGTGAATCATTTGCCTTTTGAGTTCAGGCTATCGACTTTCTGGGGACACGTAAGTTATATAGATAAACATGCAAACACACAATTCAGTTTTTATTTTATAGTCATGGGTTTGCCTGCATGTTTGTCTGTGAAACCGCATGTGCCCCACAGAAGGCAGGAGAAGGTATCAAATCCTCTGGGATCGGGACTGCAGACAGTTGTGAGCTGCCCTGTGGGTGCTGGGAATCAATCGCAGGCCCTCTGGAAGAGCAGCCGGTGCTCTTAGCTGCTGAGCCAACCCTCCAGCCCAAGTGTCCTATGATGGATGTGTATTTCTGGAAACCGGCCGGCGCCCGAGTTCTGTGGTGACATCACAGTCCTCAGGAAGGTTCTGAAGTTCCTTCAGCTGTCGGAGTCAGCCATGCTGGCCACTCTGTGGCTGGTTAGTCTTTCCCTTCCCTTGCTGTGGGCCCAGAGACTAATCAACTGTCCTTACAAGAATGTGTGCCAGCTCGCCCTGCTCTCGGGCAATGACGTGATCCTGCACTGTAACTACCGCAAAGCACAATGGTATTTTTCTTCGGCTGTGGAGGACGGCACGTCCCTTCTCCACACCGTGCCCAATGTGAAGATACTGCCAGAGAGCAACCTGCAGCTGTCCAACCCTCAGCCCTTCCAGACCGGCCTCTACCGCTGCCTGGACGACCAGATGACGCGCGTGGTGGAGTACGAGATCGACTTTCAGGACATAGGCCTGCTGCACATCACGCACAAAGACCTGGGCCAGGAGCCCATGGGGAATGAGACCGTGAACCTGGAAGGCAAGGTTGTCATTTTCACCCACTGGGACCCTTGGCAGGACTGTAGCCGCTGTGGCAATCCCGGCGAACGCAAACGGCTGGGCTACTGCTACATGGCGACGGCGCTGGAGAAACCCACGCCCTGCTGGCTCTACCTGAGAAAAGAGAAGCTGGTCCACAGCCGCCTGCGGCCCGAACTCCAGGTACAGGCCTGCCAGGTGCCCTGTGACAGCGCCACGGAAACCAGTCAGCCCTACTTCGTTTTTGACACTCACCAGCTGGACAAAGCCAACCAGCATGCCTGGCTCATCTGCCCCCTGGCTTCCATTTACAGGTAACAGGAGCAGGGCTGGCGGCCTTTCTTTAGGCCTCACTCAGGCCCCAACTCCTGCGCTATCTGCTGCTGGAGGGCGGGTGTCTCTGCCCACTAGACAGTTAAGCTCGTCAGCGAACCCGGAAGCTTTTACGGTGAGGGAGAGCCTAGGGGGATTGATTTCCTGGTCCGCTTAGGTGTTTCCCCACCAGAAATATCCTCGTTAACCGGGATCTGGGCAAGTGATGCGAAGAAAGGTGGTGACTGAAAAAGACCCATTTCCTGCCCACACAGGCAACCTGGAGCCTAAGACTCAGGCCCGGGCTCTGCCCATGTAAACATTGATGAGGCCTGCTGCCTGGACCCTGATGAATGCTGTTTGCCCCTCCGTCCTTGTGCCGAAAGCCATGGTGTCTTTCACCTTTTTCTTTCTTTCTGTCTGTCTGTCTGTCTGTCTGTCTATCTATCTATCTATCTATCTATCTATCTATCTATCTATCTATTTAGAGACAGGGCCTCACTGAGTAGTCTTGACTGGCCTGGAGCTTGCTATAGACCAGGCTGACCTTGAATTCACAAGAGACCCGCTTGCCTCTACCTTATGCTGGGATTAAAGGCGTGCACCCCGAACCCGGTACACCCTTGTTTCTTTAGCTGTCAGCATTTTATGTAAGTAGGCAAAGGGTCGCGATATGACCTAACTGTTAGATAAATATCAACAGTTGTAGCTATTTCAACTGTTGTAGAACTTGGGGTCCTCTCTAGCCCCTAAATCAGTGGTTCTCAGCCTCCCTCATGCTGCGACCCTTTAATACAGATCCTTAGGTTGGGGTGACCCCCCCAACCATAAAATTATTTTTGTTAAAAACTATTGGTAAAATCACAGACTTACCATGACAACCAAGGCTACAGAGTGAGACTCTTGTCTCAAAAAAAAAGAAGACAAAAATAAAAACAAACTAGCAAAATAAATCAAACAAACAAAAAAAAAAAAATCCTCCAAAACATAGACTTGGAGAACTTTCTGGATGGAAGACAGCTCATCAGATGTTTCCTGATGACTATCCTTGAGTATTACAACTGTGAGTAATATTTTGGTTCCTTTTCATTTATTATTATTATTATTTATCCTCATATGAATCACATAGATTTTTCTTAAAGATTATTATTCAGTGTTCTGCCTGCATGGACACCTGCACCCAGAAGAGGGCACCAGATCTCACTGTAGATGGTCGTGGGCCACCGCGTGGTTGCTGGGAATGAACTCAGGACCTCGGGAGGAGGAACCAGTGCTCTTAACCTCTGAGCCATCTCTCCATCCCCCTATTTTGATTTTTGTTTCATTTAAGATTTATTTTACGTGTACAGGCGTTTTACCTGCATGTAGTTATGTGAACCTCATGTGTGCAAGTGTTCACAGAGGCCAGAAGAGGGCAATGGATTGCCTGCAACTCTACAGAGGTTGGGACCCTTCATGTGGGTGCTGGGACTAGAACTTGGGTCCTCTCTGGGCCCTAAATCAATGGTTCTCAGCCTCCTTGATGCTGCGACCCTTTAATACAGCTCCTCATTTTGTGGTGACCCCCCCCCCAGCCATAAACTTATTTTTGTTGCTACTTTTTCCTTGCAAGTTTGCTGCTGAGCGGTGTCTCAGTTCCTAAGACCCCTGGAAATGTGTGTTTTTTGATGGCCATGATACACACATTGAAAACCAATGTCCTACTTTTTCTTTTCTTTTCTTTCTTTCTGCGCGCCCCCATGGCTCCAGGTTAGTTGGCTCTGTAGGTCTTCTTGTGGTGCCCTCAACCCCTCCAGCTCTCTGTCATTCCCCCAGCTCTTCCATGTAACTCCCCGAGCTCTGTCTATGATCTGGCTGCGGGTCTCTGCGTCTGTCAGCAGCCGGGTGAAGCCTCTCAGAGGAGTCGGGCTAGGCTCCTGTCCACAAGCATAGCAGAGTGACATTAACGGTGGCAGGGACTGGTTCTCTCCCATGGGGCGGGTCTCAGGTAGGGCCAGTCTTTGCTTCTCCGTTCCCTCCATCTCTGCTCCGTCTTTGTCCCTGCACATCTTGTAGGCAGGACAGATTTTGGGTGGGAGGTTTTGTGGGTGGGTTGGCGTCCTTATCTCTCCACGAGAAGTCCTACCTGGCTACAAGAGGGGGCCGCTTCAGGCTCCCTATCCCCATTGCCAGGAGCCTCAGCTAGGGTGCCCCCTTAGACTTCCCGGGGTCTCCCCTAAGCCAGGTCTCTGGCATGTCCCTGAGGTAGGCCCACCTGCTCTTCCTACTCCTAATCTCCACCCCTGAGCCCCTTCCCATTCCCTCTCCTGCCCATTTCCCTCTCCTCTGAGTGAGAGTCAAGCATCCTCCCCTGAGCCCTGCTTTTAACTTAGCTTGTTTGGGTCTGTGGATTGTAGCACGGTTTTCCTGTACTTTGTGGCCAATGTCCACTTATAAGTGAGTACATACCACGCGTGTCCCCCCTTTAGTTTTGTAAGCCTCCATTTTCCTATGAGCCACATCTGTCTCCTCTCTATCCAGAGGCAGGCCTTTGTTCAACAGATACCCCTCTGCCCCCTCTCTATAGCTCCCCTCTCCTCCTCCCTCCTCTCTCTCCTGTCTTTGTCTCTTATTCCCTGCCCTTTGTCCCTTAGCACTTCCTTTGTGCTAAGAACCTAGTCTTGGGGGGTCCTGAGAAGATCGACGCTTTTCTTTCGGGGTCCACACTTGCTGTTGAGTTCTGGAGAGATGCTGTCAGCCGCGGTGAGGGAGGAAGACACGGTAGCAGGCAGGGAGGGCATGCTGGCGGGGGCAGGAGGCCAGCTGGTCACCTCGCAAAGTGTGCGGGGATTCAGTCCATCATGGAAGTGCAGATCTGGGGTGCTAGGCTCTGGGTGTGTATGTGTGTGTGTGTGTGTTTGTGTTTGTGTGTGTGCCTAAGTAAGCTTTAAAATAATTTAAAGTTGAGTTAATTTCTTTCGTTATAAATATAAAACTGTTTGTTTTTTTCTTGTGATAGCATTGTTGAATTGGGTTTTTCCCCACCTCCGTGAATTTACCCTGAGTTTTTGAGGTTTGGAGGTTTTTCAACAGCCCAGAGCCTCCGCGTAGAACTCTCAGCTGTGTCTGAGGCTCCGTGTCTGCCTCCGTGCCGCCATGCACCCTGCTATGACGACACTAGACTAAGCTTCTGAAACTGCAAGCCAGCCTCTGTTAAGAGCTTTCCTTCGTAGGTGTTGCTGTGGTCGTGGTGTCTCCTCACCCGAACAGAGCGCTGACTGGGACGCCTGTATGAAGCTACAGGGCGTTTTGCTTTGTTTTCTGCGGCTGTAGGACGCAAGGCTTGGTGCATTCCCGGAGAATACTGCGCGCTCAGCGGCACCCGGCTCTGGCTCTCTTCCTTCATTATGTAGCCTACACTTGCCTTGAGTGTGGGATGCCTCTGCTTCTGCCTCCTAAGCACTGAGATCACAGGCCCACACCACCGCTTGTCTTTCCATTCCTTATCGTTTTACAGAGTCTGTGGGAGCAGAGCTAGTGTCTCCTTTTAAATTATGTTTAATTAATCCCAGCACTTGGGATGCAGAGGCAAGTGGATCTCTGTGACTCTGAGGCCAGCCTGATCTACACAGAGAGTTCTAGGCCATCCAGGGCTACACCATGAGACCCTGTCTCAAAACCCAAAAACAAGATCTTCAGGATTGCTCAGTGTGTAAAAGTGCTTGCCATCAAGTCCAGTGACCTCAGAACAAACAGTGGAGGAAGAGAAATGAGTTGGACAAGTTGCCCGCTGACCCCCAAACACAGACACCACGCTACATGCGCGTTGTACTCATGCACGCGAGAAAGAATTTAACTTTCTCCCAGACTGGAATGTTCCATCATGCAGGGAAGCTACTTAAGCAGGAAGGAAAACAACTCAAAATAGCTTCAGGAAGTCCCTGAAACTGAACAGCCTCACTGGGCCCCTCCCTGCGAGAATCAACTAACCACTGCGGAGAAGACTGAGCCCAGACCAGCTGCCTGGAAGAAGCAGAAACCAGCTGAGCTGCTTAGAAGAGGTTTAGCTAACGGAGTCCCCGGGAAAGTCCACCCTCCAATGTGCTGAGCTGCCTTCGGGCTGTGCAGCGAGCTCCAGGCTCCCAGCTCTGTGAGCTGTCACCCGTGCCGTCGTGGGCTTTGGAGATGCCGCTCTCTTTGAGTCATTTCTGCTCCTGTAAGTAACCCCAACAGAACTCATTGGTCCACCAAGTTAGGGTTTGTTGGCATCTGTCCTTTGGTTGTTGGTTCCCTATCTGAGCTGAGTGGACCTGTAAAGTAAACAAATGAAAAAAAAAATCAGGTGGTTTTAAGAAAAATATCAGTTCTGTGTGTTCTAGCCGAAGACATGAGAATGGCTGAAGGCTGTCTTAGGACCAGTCAGTCCACATTCATTATTTGAGCGGCTCTCTAAAATGGAACCGACAGGAAGGGCATTACGTGCGGTTCATTCAAGTGATGGCTGACACTCGGTACTCACCAAACATCTGTCCAGCAGACGGACCCAGGAAGACCGTGCCTGAATCACCTCAAGGTTCCTGAGAAGGTCTTTAGGCAAAGGATTTGGGGTGGAAGAAACTGTCAACAGAATTTATTTAAGATGAATTGAATTTTGTGGATATCTTGGGGAAAGTGTTAGGAACCAACCTACGTGAAGGTCCTGACCCAGGAATCCTCTGCTTGGCCGGAACGTTCCAGAAGACAGGACAGATGTTAACATGAATGGGCTGGCCAGGCAGAGACAGGAATCAGAATAACCACCAAGGATTTGGCCAATGCTCTATCTCCAGGGTTAAGGAGTGTGTTTGGGGCGCTGAAGAGACGGCTCACTGGTTGTAGCACTGGCTGCCCTTCCAGAGGCGTTTGGTTCTGTGACTCCAGTTGATCCAGTGCCTTTTTCTGGCTTCCCTGGGTGTAAGGCACACACGTGGTACATAGACATCCGTACAGGTAAAACACATGTACACATGAAATTTATTTCCCCAGGGAATGGGGCCGAAGGGATGGCTCAGTGGTTAAGAGCACTGTGGGCTGCTTTTCCAGAAGACCCAGGTTCGGTTCCCAGCACTCACATGGGGTCTCACAACTGTCTGTAACTCAGTTCCAGGGGATTCAACACCTCTCCTGTTCTGCAGGATCCTATACACACACGGGACAAATAATCTCACTCACACACAGGCACGCCATATATACACAGATGTATACGTATGGTGATTTTGAAAAAGTAGACTGTGGTGGAAGATAGCTTTAATTCCGTTATCAGGAGGCAGGGCAGGTGGATCTCTGTGAGTTCCAGGCCTGCCAGGGTTATACAGTGTTCACACGCATGACACCGGTGCCCGGGGAAGGAAACTCACCTCTTCGGCAAGCAGGTGGCCTCGAAAGGCCCTGGCTAGATAAATTACATCTCCGCTTGTCACAGGGGAGGCGATGGCCTCATAGCCTCTCAGCCCATCTCACTGCGCAAGCCTGAGGCTCGGGTTCATGGGTGACCTCACAATCCCCAGGCTGGTGGCCAGTGCACGGCCAGGCCACCGTTCTCAGTCCACCATGGTCACCATCTTGTGGATACTGCTCAGCTTTGCGCTCCCATTGTCCAGCCTCCACGTCTCTGTCAGCTGTCCCCAGGCCAAGGAATGTCAGCTGGCCCTCCTCTCCCAAAACAGCGTCCTCTTGGAATGCAGCACCCCCACGCCGCACTGGTCCTTCTCTGAGGTAGACAAAGATGGCGATCCCGTCGGCCTGGCCGGTGATTTCAGTGTGGTAGAGGGCCCACGCGGTGGTCTGCTCATTCCAAACCCGTCGCCCCTCAACACAGGCCTCTACCAATGCCGGGATGAGAATGGAACCGAAGTGGCCAGTTACAGGATCGATTTCCAGGACATCCACAGACTGCATACCACACACCTCCAGCTGGGTCAGAAGCCCCTGATGAACACGACCCTGAGCCTGGGCCACAATGAGATGGCGTACACACGGTGGGAACCCTGGCAGGAGTGCAGCAGCTGCGGAAAGCCGGGCGAGCGCAAGCGCCTGGGCTACTGCTACATTAAGGAGCCCCTGGAGGAGTCGGTACCCTGCGGCCTCTACCTGGGAGGGCAGAGGATGCACTACTTCCACTTAAGGCCCGAGATGCAGGTGGAATCCTGCCTCGTGAGTTGCCGGCCCGCTCCGACCCGCGGCGGCGGAGATTACGTCGTCTTTGACAGTTTCACGGTCATGGAGGAGTCGGAGTCTGCGTGGCTCACCTGTCCCACGGCGTCCATCTACAGGTGATGGGGCCTCCTCGCCAACACGGCCCCTGGTCCCCCGACCCGGGCTTCTTCATGGTGAATCTGTGCCAGGCTAGTGAGAGGGTCCTGGGAGGTCAGCTCACAGGCAGTCACTAGGAGTCAGTGAAAGCAATGGGGGGGGGGGGGCAAGGGACGCTGGGCACAGGCCGCTGAAACCTACAGCAAGAATATGTACGCAATTCCGGTCAAGGCTTTCCGGTTAAGTCGTGCCTTTCCTCTTAACTCACTAAGCGTGAGGAGAACATTTTGTGAGTTAAGAGTGTGGATATTTGCAAAGCAATGTGAACATTTTTAAATTTACTTTTTGTTTTTGTTTCGTCTGTTTCTCTGTGTAATCCTGGCTATCCTGGAACTCACTGTGTAGACCAGGCTGGCCTTGACCTCACAGAGATCCACCTGCCTGGGGAGAGAGCTGGGATCACAGTTGGGCGCCATCATCGCCTGGCTTCCTGTTGCTTTTGATTGTGTGTGTCTGTATGTTTGTGGGCATGTGCACATGAGTGAAGGGGTCTGCAGAGGTCAGAGGTAGACAACTGTGAGCCCGCTGAGATGGGCGCTGGGAACCAACCTTGGGTCCTCTGGGAGAGCCGCAGCCTTCTTCACCACTGAACCGTCTGCCTGTCCCCAAAGTGGATATTTTGTTTCATTTGTTTGTTTGTTTAGTTGTTGGTTGGCTGTGTTTTTGAGACAAGGTCTCATTATGTAGCCCTGGCTGGCCTGAAACTGGACGTATAGCCTCAGGCTCCCAGAGGTACACCTATGCCCACACGTGCTGGGACTAATGCTGTGCGCGTCACACCTGGCCAAGACCCAACATTTTACGTTTCTCATTATCCATGTATTTATTTATTGGACCGCAGTCCCCCTCCCTCCTCTCCTTCCAGTCCCTCTCCCTCACCTCTCCCTGACCTCTTTGACGTTTTAAAGTTTTTAAACCGACAAAACTGGGGATGGGAAGATACCTTAAGAGTCAGAACAGTCTCCATACAGTCTACAAGACTGGGGTTTGAATCCCAGGATGGCGGTGGTGGCTCACCTGTATTTTAATTCTTGAAAAGTGGAGACAGGGAACCCCTGGAGAGAGAGAGAGCAGCTTGGTTTTCCCTGGTTAGAGAGAGAGACTGTATGGATGAACCCCAGGCTATCCTGAGAAACCCGGCTTAAATTAGCACGGTGGAAGAACAACTGAGAAAGACTTTCGACAGCAACTTGGGGCACACACGTGTGCCCCTGCACACCGATGAGTATTTACACATAGACATGCGCACCACACACACACAACGTGGAGAGAAAAAGAAGGCTGAAACTGCTAAGCATTTTGTTAGAACAGGTGAAGGCACTGCACTCAACATGAAGAGCAGTCTCACCCATTCCACAAAATTACCTTCAATCATGCGCTCAATGACACAGAAAAACATTTTTTTATTATTTCTTAATGTAGTTTGTGATATTTAAATATTCTGAATTTGTTGTGTCTGCTTTGTCAGAGAACATTGTTATAACTAAAGGGACTGATGAAAAGGGATTGAAAGCCATTTCTCCAGCCTGATCGAAACCATAATTAGCTATGGTCTAAGTGTCCTCTGAGTCCAAGATGTGGACGAGGTGTTTCTTCTCCCTAGTTTGAGTCTTTGGCCACCAGTCCGTCAGATCACCCATTTAAATCTCCTTCCTCGAGGTGTGGATCGGTGGACTGAGGGAGGCTGTCACTGTAGGAGAGAGCAGGAGGGTCTCGGGATTCTCTGTGAACCTGAGTGTAGTCAGACATTAGATAACCCTAGGAAAGAAAACCACAGCAATGAGGTGAGACCCCCAAGTTCCAACGGTTTTCCCCGTGTCTTCTGTGGGTCTTGAGGCACACCCTTACCAATGCAGGCATAAGAGACCAAAACAAGTCCCGGCATGTGACCAATAGAAGACAGCAGCCGTGCAGTGTTCGTTTTCCAGGAAGGTTGTGTCCACATAAGCGCTTTCAGGCTTTTCACACAAACGGTCATCCACCCTGGATGGCTACAGAGAGGCGTTCGGAAGACCACGGCGGTCTGAACTGTAGACTCCACAAAACCACTGATCTGAGCCATGGCAGCCAGCCGCCAGAGGACCTTTGTGCTCATGATGACGTCATAACACAGAGGTTGGGAAACAGTTCTAAAACCGTGGAATGCTGGGCCGTACAGAAGTGTGGCTGGCTTTCCCCTCCCCCCAGGCCCTTGAGATTCCAGAGCAGCTGCTGGAAGGTGCTTGGAGGAAAACAGGGGTCAGGGAAGGAGAGACCGGAGGGGAAGGAAGACAGGTGTATGGAGGAGTTGGAGGTTCGAGAATTGCTGTGTTCTCTGTCGGTGTCAGAGCGTAGATGACGGAGGAGATGGCCAGAAGAATCATCTCCAGCTAGGTCAGAGAAGCCCATAAGACAAAAATCTTCTGGGTTGCTAATATTGATCATCTTCACTGTTTGTTTATTTTTGTTGTTGCTGACTTTAGTTTACAGGTCCTGGCCTATTAATCTTCCCTCTCTCCCCCTCTCCCTCTCTCCCTCTCTCCTCTCTCTGTCTTTCAGTGATGCAGATATATGGCAGATCAGACACGATTAAAAGCAGATAACAGCAAGTTTATTTGGTGTTGCTTACTAGGAAGGGTTCACCAGTCCCCAAAACAAAAACAAAAAACGGCTTAAGGAAGTCATGTGGTTGGGTTAGGGCGGGAAGCCTTATAGATTTTAGGCGAGGGGTGATGACGTGTCAGCCAGGAGTTGGATTTGTGCCCTAGTAGGTCAAGAGCTGAGCACTTAGGTGGTGATTTGGGTGCTGGCAGCCTCAGGGGAGGAGTTTGGGATAGCTGCCAAGAATTTGGAACTGGGCCCTTGGCACTTTTCCTTTGTTTGGAGGCTTTCAGGTGCACCAGGGGTTAGGAGAAGGAGGGAAGATGGGGTTTCTCAGCTTGTGCAGGGGCGAGCTTCAGGCTCCAGCCAAACACCTGTCATTGAAGGAAGTCAGGGCAGGAACCATGGAGGAATGCTGCTTACTGGCTCACAGGTTCATGCTTTGTTAGCTTTCTTATTCAAACACATACCTAGGGAATAGTGTCACCCACAGGGAACTGGGCTCTCCATCAATCAGCGATCAAGACAATCCCCTACAGACATGCCTACAGGCCAGTCTGATCTCGACAGTCCTTCTCAGGTGACTCCAAGCTGTGTCAAACAGTTAAAGCTAACCAGGGTAGGACTGGGCACTGAAGCCCTGAGCTTTTCGAGCTAAGCGTGAATTGCTAAGGCCGCAGGAGGCTGGGACAATGGCTCAGCGCATAAGGAAGTAGTAGAGAGCATCTCCTGTCTCCAGCCTGGTTCTTGTCTTACCTTCCTCCAAAAAAATGGAGTGGGCAGAGAGGGAAGAAGAGAAATCAGAGGAACTTTACTATCAGTCTTAAAGAGACAAAACAGTGCGACAATCTGTTTAGTGAAGCAGGTTTGGACTTGAGCAGCAGGTGCTGATACCCGTTATAAGAATTCCCACACAAACCACTGGAGCACCAGTCTCAGTGAGAGAGTGATGGTTTATTGAACACGACACCCCAACACTGGTCACGACACCCCAACACTGGTCATGACCAGGGACACAGAGAGGAACTTGGGAGCCCAGCTGTGACATGGACCCAGAGTCAGTTTATAAAGGAAAAACAAAAACAAAAACACAATCCGCATACAGGGGTGTGGATGGTGACACAGGATGTTGGTTCTGATTCAAGTTATTTTGCCGGCAAGCAGTTCTAAGCTAACCTTGAATGTGTGCCTGGCAGTTGGGGGCAGCTGTGCTTATGGTTGGAGAGTTGCTGGGGATAACAAGGCCAGAGTTTCTCATTGAATATAAATTTAGTTTGATATATAAAACTGACCTTGTACAGAGATCCTGTACAGAGATTCCTTCATGTCAGCAGCAAGCTGAGATGATGTGGCTGGTGGGCCTGAAACAAACAAACAAACAAACAATGGCTGTACTTATGCCAAAAGGACTAGGCCTAAACAAGAACCATTATAGTGCTAAGAGGTTTCTAGCACTCACAGGTGTCTGGAGTGGCAGGTCTCAAAGCCTGGTGTGATGGTTTCGGAAGCAGTGCGCGGTGGGAAGCAGCTGCCAGCACAAATTCAGTTTTGTAGCCCAAAGGAGTCTGTGTTCTCGGAGGCTGAGGCAGAGCATAGTCCCTCTGCCTGCAGCACTGCCAGAGTCCTGGAGTAAGCTCCCGGGAGTCTTGGAGAGACAATTTTCTTCCTTTCCCTCCTCAGGCGTCTCCTGCAATCATTCTGTTTGTAAAACTGCAGGGAGTCTGATTTTTGGCTCTGCTGCTGCTGCTGCCCTAACAGCGGTCTGCTTAATCCTTCACCCTCAGGGCTTGAGCCTGCCCTGCTGTCTGAAAGCTCCATACTGGGGCCACACCTACTCATAACACGCCTGCTGGGCAAGTTTGGGGTCCTGAGATCAGATCCCCAACACCTACCAGGCACGATGGCAAAGAGGGGCAGAGATAGGTGGATCCTTGGAGCCCGTTGGTTCTCAGCCTAGCAGAACTGAGAAGGGCCCCTATCTCAAGAATAAAGGTTGGGGAACCCGAGAAATGGCTCGGTGGTGAGTGCTTACTGATCCCCCCACACACACCTGAGTTGATTCTCAGCAGCCATGTCTGGTGGCTCACAACTGCCTGTAACTCAAGCTCCAGAGGGACCTGCTTCTCACGCACCTGCCCTCCACACACATGCGCGTATACACACACACACACACACACACACACACACACACACACACACACACACGGTGGCCTAGTGGTTTAGAGTGATGGCTGCTCTTGCAGAGGACCCAGGTTCAATTCCCAGTACCCACATGGCTACTCACAACTGTCTGGAACTCCAGCTTCCAGAGGATTCTACAGCCTCTTCTGGTTTCCATGGAAACCAGGCGCAGGCGTGGTGCGTGCACACAGATGGAAGCAGACCACTCACGCACATAAAAAAAATGAATAAATAAATAAAGCATTTAAAAAATAAAGGTAGGCAGTGATTGGGGAAGACACCCCACACATGGACCCCTGGTCTCACACGCATTTGCATATGTGTACATGTGCATGCAGGATTGCGTGCACGCGTGCACGCACACGTGAACACACACTCTGTAAATGAACGCACTTTGCTCTACGAGATGAGCTGGAGGACGAACATGAATTGTTACCGTTTAGATATGAAAGGTCCCCCTTCCGAAGAGCCCATGCGTTGAAGGCTTGGTTGTTAACGGACGGGTTTTAGGGAAGTGATTGGATCCTGAGATTAAGCCCTTGGTAATGTGAAAGCGGTGGTAGGAGAAGTGGAGTCTAGTTGGGGGAAGTAGGTTCCTGCGGTGCGCCGAGAGAGACAGGCTCGTCTCTACCTCCTTCCCGTTTCTCTCTTTCCCGGCATCCTTGATAACCTTGTCTTGCCTCATGCCCAAAGCAATGAGTCCAAAACCTTGGAATCTGACTATCTCAGGAGTTGTATTCATTTGCCAGCACAGGAGCACAGAAGAGGAGGGTTCTAAGACAGTAGCTGCTGGTTAGGTTCGGTGATGCACACCTGTAATTCCAGCCCCGGGAGAGAGGGAGGCAGGTGGGTCCCCGGGAGCTCAAGGCCGGCCTGCTCTACACGTTCCAGGCTAGCCAAAGCTACAAAGTTAGTGAGACCTTGTCTCCCAAAACGATGATGATGACGATGACGACGATGATGATAACTGTATTTTCTCACCATTTTGGAGTCTGGAAGTCAGAAGCAAGCTGTTGGGGGACTCCTCCTGCTCTCAGGTGCTCAGTAGCATCCATCCTTGATCTTTTTTCTGGCTTTTATGGGAAACAGAGACCCTCTGACATTCCCAGGCTGGAAGCTTCATTCCCCATCCCCGCTTCCATCATTTCTTGGCTTTCATCCTGGGTATCTTTATCTGTCTTGGCTAAAAAAAAAAAAAAAAAAAAAAAAGTCACTGGACATATGGACCGCAAGGCCACCCTACCCTAAATATGCTGTCATTGCAACACATTGACAGTAACCTAGTTTTTTTTTTTTTTTTAAATACTATTGTTTTTTTTTTGTGTACAGAGTTCTGCCTGCATGTACACCTGCACTCCAGAAGAGGGCACCAAATTTCACTATAGACGGTCATGAGCCACCATGTGGCTGCTGGGAATGAACTCAAGACCTCTGGAAGAGCAGCCAGTGCTCTTAACCTCTGAGCCATCTCTCCAGCCCAATAACCTAGTTTTGAAATAAGGTTATTCTGAGGTCCTGGGAAATGCATAGATTTTGGATGGACAGTATCCAACTCTAGACCTAGGTCTGGCTAGACTGGGGATTAATTGTTATGTCTGATGTGGCTACCGGCCACAGGACCTTGTCTGGCAAAAGCTTCGTGTTTTAGGGAGGCCTTGTCAGAACACTGTCTGCTCAGGATCTCCTCTGTCATCTAGTCTCCTTGGACATGGGACCCGACCCATCCATTTGTTCAGTAATATTCGAGGTACCCAGGAAACAGTGAAGAACATAGCTTCTTACTTACTCAGAAAAGTTGCGCGCGCGTGCGCACACACACACACACACACACACACACACACACACACACACAATTGGTTTTTGTTTGTTTGTTTTTCAAGACAGGGTCTCTCTGTGTAACAGAGCCCTAGCTGTCCTGGACTCACTCTGTAGACCAGGCTGGCCTCGAACTCACAGAGATCTGCCTCCCTCTGCCTCCCAAGTGCTGGGATTAAAAGAGTGTTCTGCCATGCCAGGCTTGTTAACAATGTGGTGAACATTATTTTGGGAAAAATAAAACAACATGACATTTTACACTAAGGAGTTCTCTCTTTGAGAATGGGGGTTCTTTCTACACAGTCCAAGCTAGCCTTAAACTTGTCATCCTCCTGCTCCAGCCTTCCAAGTGCTGGGAAACCCAGTGTGTACTGCCACATCTAGCTTGAAATTTAGTATTTTAAATGCTAAGGGCTGATGGCTGTGGGAGAGAAGAAAATTCTGGGTGGGGAGTCGATCAGGGAAGGCCCTTCTGAGAACTGGTCGCATCTGCCAAGCCCAGAAAGAGATGTTGTTCCAGGCAGACAGACCAGCGCAGATGGAGACCCTGATCGGAGCAGCATGGCTGAGAAAGCCCTAACACACTAGTGTGTCTGGGTGTATTAATTATAAGGGGAAATAGTGAAGAGGAGTACAGGTACGGGGCTTCTAATTGGTTCAAAGTATCTCACAAGGCAGATGCCTCCAGGATAGCCCCATTTCTCAGATGAGAAAATGGATGCTGGAGAAACTAGCTTTGGCTCAGGGCACCCAGCCAGTCAGAGACAGAGGTCTAGAAGCTTCCCAGACCATCCCTCCCCGGCACCCCCCCCCCCCGGCTCCATTGGGGAACACGGAGCTGTTGCCCCCAGCTCCCTCAGTCCCAGCTTTCTCCGGGACCCTGAAGTGTGATCCTCTGCTCCTCCCGTCCAGGCCCGTCCACTGGGAAGCCAACAACACCGCTCTGACTTGGCACGACCAGCTGGCTGCCGGCAAGTACAGCAGCACCATCATGGACCTCCACAGCGGCGGCCAGAAGCTGCAGGTCTTCCAGCCAGCCATTTACAGATGTTTCGTGCAACAGGAGCTCGTGGCCCAGTTCAACCCCACGGCCTCTGTGGATCAGCTGGAGGCTGAGAGACAGCCCAGAGCCCAGTGGCTGTGGCAGTCCAGGGCCCAGCCGGGCAAGGCGGACTCCGTGCTCAGGGGTTTGAAGCTGCTGCTGCTGGTTGTCTTTGTGCTGGCCGTGGGGGGGCTTCTCCGTAAGGTGGTCTTCCGTCCTCCCCGTGGCAAGAAGAATCAGGTCCTCCTGGTGAAATAAACTGAGCCCTCCGTGTCCAAGGGAACCGGTCTCTCCGCTGTTCTGCCCCTTAGCTCTCCATTAGCTTTAGCCATCCGTGGGAGCCCCACACTGGGCCCTTGGAGGCTTGAGAGCCAACACCGACCTGGGCTAAAATCCACTGGCCTCTTCGCTCCTTGTTCTCTGCCCTACACGGCTAATTGTACATATAAGGAAGCTAAGACAAGACTGTGCAACCGCTGGAGAATTGGGACTCTGGGGTTCCTCTGGGGGAGGGGGAGGGGGGGAGGGAACCTTCTCGGGGTGCGCAGTGTGGCTCTCTCTGGGGAAGTATGAAGAAATATCCGTTCATCCCGGATTGGACACTCCCGACAGACTAAAGGAATGGCTCTACCTTAGGCTGAGCTGGTGAACCAGTGAGTTTACTGGGGCTCCTGAGAGGAGAATGAGTGGCGGGGTGCTTACATGACCGAGGGGGACTCTTTAAGGTGCCGCACCACCCAAAGGTCCAGCCTGGATGGTGTGACGTCATGCATGAACCGCTGCTGTATATTAAACTTTCTGTACAACTTGTGGACGGCGCCGCTTCCCGAAGAGAACGGCTCCTGCCTGGGCACCCACGGGGAGGGTCTTGTGGATCGTGGGACCTTCCAGGCTTCTTAAGCCTTGCATATCCTCTCTGCTCCCTGATCTCCTGGGTCTCCCCCACCCTACCCCCCAAAAAAGGGGGTTGAATAGCTTCACAACAGGCGTCTCCGTTGTGGTACATTGCGGCCTCTTCATTCAGCCCTCTCTCCGAAGGACGAGAATGGAGGACACTCGTGGTCATCGCTTCCTACCCCAACCCTGGTCTGCACTGAGTCCCTGATGGTGTTCCCTGCTTGTCCCCCAGGGCATCTTCCCGTGCTGTGCCACAGCCGCAGACTCACTCACATCCCTGTAGCTGTGCGTTTGGCTACTTTATTTGAGTTCCTATAGCTACCGCCCTTCGCCCCAATCCCTTCCAACCCCCAGAACTAGATAGGGGTGTAGACCTCTTTAGACTACTTCCTGCTGATGAGGGGCATCAAGTTCCTTGGGGCAGTCCAATCTTTGTTGCCAGAATCCCAGCAACCAGCAATCCAGCACTCCAGCAGCAGCAAAAGCAATCAGCAGCCAGCAAAAGCAGCAGCAGGGACCAGCAGCAAAGTTCCCCTGGGCCTCTAGCCTTACATCCCTTCTAGAGTCCCCAGAATCCCAAGCGTAATCCATTTTTAGCTGGCAAAATCATGCCCCTGCTAGAGCACAAGTCAAATTACAGTCCCCTGTGGTGGACAATCCGAAGAACCCCCTCTCCCACCTCCCCCTCTATCCCACAACTGGGATTTAAAAAAAAATTCACATAACAAAACTGGGTTTTTGAAGAAAGCAAAATTCTCCCTACAGCTCCCTGCATCCCTCAGCTTAGGCGCGTGCTATTGCCCTCGTGGTGAGGGGAGAGCCTCCCTCGATGCCCTGGGACAAGAGGCTGGGCCCCGCCCAGCTGATTGGCAGGAACGGCTCGGCCCGGCCTGGCTCTTCCCAGAAGCCACACACATGATTGAGCAGAACGCGAGAGCAGGACATGAAATATTAATGCCTCTTAAGACTCATTGCCCTAAATTTGCACGGTGAGGTCTCGGCAGAGCACATAGGAAGGCTTCCCAGGGCAGAACGCGGCCCCGGAAGACGGGGCGGTGCTCCCTACCACATCCCACACCCCGCAGGCTTCAGGAGACACCGGCAGAGCGAGAGAAGGTTCCCCAAGTCAGTTGGGACTGGCTGGGAGGCAGAAGCTGAGAACGGCAATGGCCAAAATGGTCAATATTTCTGTGTCAAAACGCAAACTCTTCCATGAACACCGTGTCCCCAGAAGCCACCACCAGACGGCTGTTACTCTTAGGCTCCTTTTGGCTTTATAGCTGGGGACGTTACGGTACAGAGGGCTTTCAGCAACTGGTCCGAGGTCACACAGCTTGGGGGAAGGGCAGGCGGTGAGTCATTGAAAAGTGAGCTCTCGGGCTGGGGAGATGGCTCAGTGGTAAGGGTGTAAGACCGGGTTCCGTGCCAGTCAAGAAAAAAAGGTGGATGTGGCCACTGTGAGCCTCTAACCCCAGAGCTGGGGCTTATCTTAGACGGGGGGGTGGGGTGTGTGTGTGTGTGAGGGAGTTGTCTATGGGGTTGGCTGGCTGCCACCCCTAGCTCTAGGTTCAGTGAGAAACCCTGTGTCCAGGGAATAAGCAGGAGAGTGAGAGCGAGAAAGCAGGACACCGGGTGTCCTGTGCACGTGGACACAGACCTGTACACAGAGTGGCACACACACACACACACACACACACACACACACACACACACACGAGTCGGTTTGCTCCAGGCCGGGCTCGGCTGGTACCGTACGTTAAAGCTGAAGTGTCCCCGAGGTTCTGTCTCCAGCTGTGAGACACAATCATAGGGAGGTGACCTCATGAGGGCTCTGATCTGGCCCACGGATTCGCCCATGGATGGCTTCATACACTGTGTGTGCACATTCACATTGGTGAGCATGTGGGGGCGCAGGCATGCAGAGGCCAGGACCGGATTTATCACTCCTCCACCAAACTGCCTTGAGGCCGGGTCTCTGGTGGAGCCAGGCTGTTGTTTGAGCCTCACTGGCTGGTCGGTGAGTTTTGGGATCCGCTAGTCTGTGCCCACCAACCTGGCACTCTAGGCATGGGCAGCCACATGCAGCTTTTTAACGTGGGTGCTGGGGCTTCAAACTCAGGCCGTCACACTCACAAAGCAGGGACTTTTATGTGCAGGGCCGTCTTCCCAGCTTTGATTTCGATTTTGATGGCAGAAACCAGGAAGTGGAGCCTGGTCTGAGGAAGCAGCTTGCTTGGGAGCGTGTCCTTGGGAGATATAAGCTGTTCTCCTCTCCTGCCTTCTCCTCCTCCCAGAAAAGGGGGCTCCCCACCCATCAGCCAAATCAGGACTAAGCACGACCTCCTCCACCAGGCCCGACCAGGCAGCCAGCTGAGGAGAGTGATCCAAAAGCAGGCAACAGCGTCCATGTCGGAGACAGCCCTGCCCCACTTACTAGGGCACCCACATGAAGACCAAGCTCCCCATCAGGAACACAGGTGTAGGTGTCCCAGGACCAGTCCGTGCATTCGCTTTGGTTGGTGGTTCAGTCTCTGTGAGCCCCCACGGTCCTCCGTTAGTTGACTCTGTTGGTCTTCTCGTGGAGATCTTGTCCCCTCTTGCTCCCTCCATTCTTCCCCCAACGACTCCGCAAGACTCCACAAGCTCTGCCTAATGTTTGGCTGTGGATCTCTGCATCTGTTTCGATCCACTGCTGGATGGAGCCTCTCAGAGGGCGGTTATGCTACGCTCCTGTGTATAAGCAGAGTATCGTTAATAGTGTGGGGGGTTGGCTCTCTCCCATGGGGTGGGTCTCAGGTTGGAGATAGGCACCTTTTAGGACCAGGGCTCAGCTTCTTTATACCTCCTCTGTCACCGTCTCTGGGTGGCTAAATGGCTCCGCCTCGGGAGGCTACTTGGGGTCTTGGCTGGGGAGCTCCCAGCCCCCCACCTCCCCAACAGGCAAGCCTGGTCAGACTCACAAGGTCATGGCAAGTGACCAAGAGTATCATCAGAAGTTGCCAAGTTCCCCACGGCTCGAGCCTGAATCTCTCTTACCACAGTCTGTTGGCCAGACAAGTTATAACGTCAGACCCAAGAGTGAGGAAATGCGTCCCGCCTCGTGATGGACCAATGGCCGAAGTCACACGGCGAGGCTGTCTCGGGGAAGGATACTGTGTGCATTCTGCAGACACACTCTACAGGAAGTAAGGGACCCAGTTGGAACCCCTCCCAACACTGCCTCAACCAGCCTGTTGCTCTTGAGCTTCCAGGCTTCCCCCTGGAAGGAAGGAAGAGCTGGCCCCTCCTGCCTTTCATGTGGTCTTCATCTGCGTCCAGAGCCCCTCAGTTGCTTTTCTTTTGGGTCAGGACGCATATGTTACATAGAACAGAAATCTCAGCAGGATGGAAAAGTAAGAAGGGCTCACGGGGAAGTGAGGAATGGAGGCTGACTCCCTCTGTCTGTCCGTTACATGTTTTCCTGCAGGCCTTCGTTGTGAATCAGGCACATCCCGAGAGACGATAAGACATCCTTCTTCAGCTCCAGCTACGTCACAGCCCGGATGTAGATAGAGACACAGCGCAGCTTTAGCACAGTGTGGCCAAGGGTCCGTACCCACACCTGGGTGTTTACTGTGTGCTGGGTACTGCTTTAGGTACATGGTGTTTTAGTTTCCTTTCTGTTGCTGTAACAGAACACTCTGTCTGACCGAAAGCCACTTAGGGGAGGAAAGGGGTTGTTTGGCTTACACTTCCAGGTCATAGTTCACCATTGAGGGCAGTCAAGGTAGGAAAAACCACGGAGGAACACTGCTGGCTTGTGGCTCATCATGCTCACTGCTCAGCATCACCTGCCTAGGGACGGTGCCGCCCGTACCAATTAACAGTCAAGATAGTCCCCCATAGACATAGCCACCGGCCAATCTGAAGCAGGCAATTTCCTGTGAAAGGAATTTTTATTCACCTGCTTCCGTTGTTGTCTCAGAAGATTAGTGTCTCCATCTGGTAACTAGGCCTAACCCTGGAAGCTTCCCGCCTGCGTACAATCTAACCTAGGCCTAAAATGTTTTCAGCCTCTGAGATTCACTGCTGAATAAGCTCACGCTTTCTTGTTCTTGTTGAGCTATGGGCTGGCTGGTTCAACTCAGCTGTTCTGTCTCAAACTCCTCTCCCAGCTGACTTATTCAATCTGGCTTTTCTCCTGGCTTCTGAATTGCTCTGCTTGGCCTCAAACTAATTCCAGCAATCTGCTCTAATCTCCTGGCTCCTTCTCATTCTCTGGTTCATTTGTTCTTCACCTGAGTTCTCTCTCTCTCTCTGTGACTTGTCTCTCTATTACTGTCCTGGTAAAACTACCTCCTCTCCCTCTCTCCCTCCCCTCCTTCCTCTCTCTCTCTGCATTGCCCCTTAAGTAGCTTCCCTTTCCTCTCTCTTTTCTTGTGAGAGTTGGGTGTATCCTATTCTGTCAAGTCTTTTT